ATAGCTAAAAAGTGGAAGAAACTCAAGTGGCTTTCAACGAATGAATTTTTAAAATGTGTTATATCCACACAACAAAATATTATTTGTGCATGAAAAGGAATGAAGTACTGATTGATACCTGTTACAATGTGAATGGTCCTTGAAACACTATGCAAAGTAAAAGAATCCAGCCACAAAAGACCACATGTCAAATGATTCTATTTATATAAAATGTCCAGGAAAGGCAAATCTGTACAGACAGAAAGTAGATTCATGGTTGCTTAGGGATTGGGGTTGGGGTATGGAGGTGGGTGATAGCTAAAGGGTATGTGGGAGGTTTCTTTGAGGTGATAAAAGTATTCTACGATTGACTGTGCTGATAGCTGCACATAGCTATATACTAAAAGTCACCGAATGGGACCTTAAATGATGGATTGTATGATATACGAATTATATCTCAATAAAGATTTTTCTAAAAAAAGACATTTGCAGAAGTTCAGTGCTTTTCAGATGAGGCTATGAACATATTCTCAAGAATTATATGCAGTCAGGTGTAACAAACACCACATTGGCCACCAGGACACACATAACCTAAGCAGCCGAAGGGTATGCATGCCCTGTGCCGAATGCTGTGCCGCTAATGAAGTGCTGCGAGATGTCTTCAGGATGCTGGAATGCTACATCTTTGCCTTGATGGCCTCACTGCATCTCCTCCCTCTGGGTCAGAAGCCATCAGAAGGCAGATTCTAAAAAGGAGCTGGCTATGGAGCTATATACTAGGCTGCTTTCTGAATGGAGTGAGGGAAAGGAAAACTCACGTGTTCTGAGCATCGACTTTCTACTATCTACAGTCTAAAGCCAGTAAGCAGTGAGGCCGCCATTACATTCCTTTCGTTGGAAAGTTCTCATAGTCTGGGATACCAATCCTTTTTGTGTCCCACATGTCAGGTGCTTTGGTTTATGTGAGGAATCTACATGCAGTATCTGGCATGATGCCTGGAATAGAGGAAGTGCTTGATAAATATTTATTGAGTAAACATTTGAGCCAATGTTAGCTGTAAGGCTGCCGTTACACAGAAGACTCATTAAAATTGGTATTATAAAGAGCTTACATATAAATTCTTTATGTAGATTTGTGATAAACAATGAAAAAAGATTTAACAAAAACAGTATCCTGTTTATGAAACACTTTAAGTCTAAATTAAATATGTCTACATAGTTCTGATAGTCTAAGGTAGAGAATGCAGATAATTCACTGATTGGCACTATAGTTGGAAAATACAAATGCAGATGGCAGATCCCTTATTGGCAAAGTGTGGGAATGGGGAACAAGGGAACATGCACTGAATGGGTTTTAAAACTGCTGATGGTGGCCAGGCGCGGTGGCTCACACCTGTAATACCAGCACTTTGGGAGGCCAAGGTGGGCAGATCACCGGAGGTCGGGAGTTCGAGACCAGCCTGGCCAACAAGGTGAAAACCATCTCTACTAAATATACAAAAAATTAGCCGGGTGTGGTGGCGGGCGCCTGTAATCCCAGCTACTCGGAAGGCTGAGGCAGGATAATTGCTTGAACCCAGGAGGTGGAGGTTGCAGTGAGCCAAGATCGCGCCACTGTACTTCAGCCTGGGCAACAAGAGCAAAACTCCATCTCAAAAATAAATAAATACATAAAAATAAATAAATAAACTACTGATGCCCATGGGTGAGACCAAAGGTAATAAAAGCTAACCTCTGGGCTATGATCCAAATGAATTAATCAGAAGGGAAAACAGGCTTTGGAGGGCATCAGGCAATACCTTCTACCCAGGCAAAGGATGTGCTGGTGGTTCCAAAGTCTGCCCAGGTGGACAACTGTCAAGACAAATCACCAAGCCCCAGATGTGGCTCTGCAAAGTGGCTGCGAGTGAACAGCACGTTCAGATGCACACACTGCAGTGGCTTCCAGAATTGATTAAATAGATCTGTTCAAACCCGATTGAAACTGCATTTTCCTCACTTTTCTATAGAGGGGTTTTCTGACACATCATGGCTAAGAGTAAAAGTGACGGATGAATTGATGGCCCTCATCATTCGGTGGCAGGAAGGAAAAGGACGTTCACAAGCACCCAGCCCAGCATTTCCCTAAATGTTAAATGCGTCCCACTGGCGGGACAGGGAACCACATGGATGTATTCACTTCGCAGGACTGCAGAAACTAACAAACCGGATGGTTTAAAACAACAGAAATGTATTCTGCCATGGTTTTGGAGTCTACCAGTCTGAAATCAAGGTGCCCACAGGACCCGGCTCCCTCTCAGGACTCTAGGGGAGAATCCCTCCTGGCCTCTCTCTAGCCTCCGCTGGTGGCCGACAATCTTTGGAGTTCCTTGGCTGGAGACACCGTGCTCCAGTCTCCACTGTGATGGAACACTGTGTCTGTGGCCACAGACTCCACTGTGGTGTTCTCCCTGAGTGTCACAATCTGTGTCCAGATTTCCTTCTTCTAAAGACGCCAGTCATGGGATTAGAGCCCTAATTCAGTATGACTTCCCTTTAACTTGAGTACATCTGCAAAGATCCTATTTCCAAATAAGATCCCATTTCCAAAAAAGATTCCAGATACCCTAGAATTTGAACATATACAATTCAGCCTACGACAACCAGTAAATGTTTTTTTATTGTCATGTATTTCAGTGTACATCCACGACATACAATTAGCACATCAAACAATGATTTCACTGACACAGGATGATTGCTTAAGCTGACTAATGGCTAAGGTTAAAAGAGTTAATGTAAAGGAATATCTTGAGTAGACAGTTCTATAAGTGTTACTCAGACACAGTAGAAATTGTGAAGGTGGTAAATTAATATTTGGAATGCATTGAGCTAGCCCCAACCTATCTCTTCAGGCAGGGTGTTGTCTAGAAAAGAAACGACAGTAGATAACTGAGTCTCTTATTTGAAAGCTTCCCCAAAGAGATTTCACAATCTCTTTCAGAGTGAGGCCATTGTGCTATGAATCTCGTTGCCTAAAAGTTCCTCCTTACATCTAGCCTCAATCCCTCTTGCTTCAGTTAAAACACATGACTGCTGGACATACACTCTTTATACTATCCAACATGTTAGGTCATCCAACATGCAGGCAGATGAATTCTAGGTATGCAGAACTTCTAGGAGCTTAAGAATTCAACTGAACTGTGACATATGTTTGTTACCTAAATCCAATATTTAAAGTTGGTAAAAAGAAAGGACCAAGTCTGTACTTGGAGAGGGAACCCCCACTTTTCAAGCGCTTTTGTGGCTGACTGGTGGGCAAACACGAGACGGGACCAGCCAACCTGTTGGAGGATCTAACTCCCGCACACAGACTCCTGGCAGACCGCAGTCACAGGTGAAGGCACTCATGGTCTTTTCCTCCTGTGTCTGTACAAAATCCTTTTCCACCTGACAGAAGCTGTCTTGTCACCCTGGCACCACTCATCAACAAGAGGCTCCAACCCAGCCTATGTGAGGCCATTTAATTGCAGTGGAGAATGCCAGCTAAACAAAGCAAGGTAAATGAGTGACTTTTTACACACTTCTGTAACCCTCTGTGTCCAGCCAAGAGACTAATGTTGCCATTTATGAATAATTAAATCTTTTCCTCCAGAAAAAAAGAATAATCTGCCTTTTGCACAGTCACAAGAGCATGCTTAAATAGAAAGGAAAACGCACATGTGGCCCGATCAAAGAAATCTGCCACATTTTCAAGGTTTAGTGTCCTGGGAGCTTTCAGGACAGACTGATGGTCCTTTTTCACCATCTCTAAACCTGCTTGTGGACTATGGTTCCCTCCAGCCACTGTGCATAAAGCCTGCCTATTAGGGAGGCCAAAGAACACTCTAGAGGCGTGTAAAGCCAGTCAAGCCTCAAGGGATACCTGTTTGCATAAGAATCTGAACTGTGTCTAAGCCTTCCGGTTTAGGGAACAAAGCTTCAGGGTTCTGAGTCCAGGGTGTGTGGATTCCTCCCTGGCTCCCTGCCCACTGCTGAAGCCTGGGGTGGAGATGGGGTTGGGGAATGCCCCTGCATTCATGGCTTCCAAGACACTCCGGTGCAGCCCAATTCTGCTGCAGTCCTGGAGGGTCAGGTGTGAGCGCCTGGAATACAGAGAACCTCCAAAGAGAGAATCAGAAAGAGGAAGAGGTGCAGGAGAACGCCATGAGCCGGAGAGGGAAAGAGAAAGTCCCAAAGCAGAGTGGCAGGGGGGGGAAAACAGACCTTGTGTATAAAACTACAGATGCTCCTGACCAAGCGTCAGCTCTCTCCTCACTTAGGACATAAGACCTAACTACTTACAGCCCAGCGGGCTCGGACTATTGATTTTATTTTTAAAAATTAAACAGGCATTTCACTTGGATTCGCTAACCAAATGAAGTCCTGAAACACAACAATTCCACTATGTAAAATTATTCTCACATAATACCTGTTCAGGCAATAAGAACCAAAACATCTGCTCTTAGACACTATTCTTTGTCATTGCTAAACAGTTCTGTCTGTCCCTCTCTCTCTCATCCCCCACTTCCCACACCAGTCTTCCCAGCTGAGGGAGCAGCTGCAGAGTGAGTGCTTTCCACAATCAGCACGGCCACCTTCCTCCAGACTGGGAGCCCTGGCCTTGCTCAGGATCGATCGCCTGACCCCTTTGCAGGTCTGCCCGGCCCCGCCGGCCACACACACCCTGCCCAGGCTATGGGCAGTGTCCTGTGGGCTCTGCATGTGAACGGTTTGGCTCGGCTTGCTGACAGAGACGGCAGCATCAGAGATCCCTAGCCCTGAAACCCAGACCGGAAAAGGCAGGAGTGCAGCTGGCAGATTTGTAGAGCTGTGGAGCAGCTACCCCTCTTTGCTTAGCCAGATGCCATCACCTAGAGAATTCAGGAGAAGGAGACCTGCAAGGAGAGGGGCAGGAGGGAGAAGGCGCAGGAAGCAGTAGCAGGTGCTTGTGCCAGCTGCACCTCTTTTACTCAGAGCCCAGACACAGGTGCTTCCATGCCTACCTTGGTGGTTGTGTCTCCGCCACCCGGCAGCCTCTCCCGCTCTCCTCTGGGGGACCCCCGGTTTCCAGCACGTGCTTGGTGCTGTGGGATGCAGAGGGGCCTTCTGCTGTGAATCTCTAAGGGACTTCCTGGTGACCGAAACCGAAGGTTTCCTCCCCTGCGTGCAGCCTTTCACTGAGGCTCCTGTGGAGGTTTGCAGATTTTCTTTTCTCAAACTCAGTCCCGCCCCTTGTTCTTGCAGATAAGGGAGTTTTCCCTTAGGGCCCTCTGTGGCCTCCTGGCCCAGCGTTTCTGGTTCAAAGGGCACAGGGCCGTACTACCTATGAGGCTGAGCATTCATTCGCTTCAATTAAATTTTCCATTAACTTGGTCTCTGGCCAGTATGGATTTTCTCTCTAAGGTTGTCTCTGCAGTTCAGATCACTCAGCCCTGAGAATCAACCTTATGACTCCCCTCTGGTCCATTTAAGTACATTTCTATTTTTTCCCCCCTAATGAGATGCGCAGCAACCAACCATAATTTTAATGCCTGACACCTGAACTTCTTTAATCCTCTCAGATGTTTCCGGTTTGCTTAAGACTTTGTTCTAAGCCTAGGCGTTGATTTCCTCCTTTGGAAATTTTGACCAAAGGCGTTTTTGACCAAAGTCATCTGTTTGGGATAACGAGTGCCCTTTCTGTGCTCTCAGGAGGAGAGCAGGTTCCATACCACCCTCGGTATGATCTTGCAGCTTCGCCAAACCTCCACGCCAAGGTTATGAGAATTCCCAAGACCTGGGGGAGGTGAAGTGGGTGGGACTTCCTGTGGTCACGCTGTTTCCTCCACAGCCCCCATACTTTTTTTGGTCTTTTGTAGAACCTTGAGGAAATTAAAAGTGGTCCTTAATCAGGAAAATGCTGAAGTTCCTGGAATAGAGGACACCTTGTAAGTTTCCTTTCTAAATGGACAGCTCAACTTTGAGAGAGGTTCACAGCACTCCTAGCACTGCTCACTCTAGTGGAGCAAGTTGCTGTGCTGTGAGATGCTCTGCAAAGGGACCCATTTGGCAACAAACCAACAGCTCAAGGGAAACTGAGTCCTGCTGACAACCGTGTGAAAAAGCTGGAAAAGTGGATCCTACCCTAGTTGAGGTTTGAGATGCAGCCTTGTGAAAGATTCAGAACCAGAGGGTCTGTGGTCCAGGCTGCACCTGGCGCCCTGACCCACAGAAGCTGTGAGACTATAAATGTTATTTTAAGCCCCTAAGTGTTGGGGGTAATTTATTACACAGCAAAAGATAACTGATGTGGACAGAAAAAGGGAAGCTATTTCATTCCTCTTGATTCTGCATGTCCAGATTGGAAGTTGTCATTATTAACTCAGCAGTAGCTAGGATGTATCTGGTACAGAATATCTGCCCACTTCTCTGCCAGGGAGTTTATGTTTGTTTGTTGCAGTTTTTTTAGCAAAGGATTTGTTGCTTATGAATGAAACCCAGAAAGCACCCACTATTAGGAGAGAGTTCATAAAGTTCATCTTAGAAGCCTACTGGTTTCCCAAGCTGCTTCAGCTCCTCTTGGCATGGTTTGCCATTCTAACCCTAGTTCTCATGCATGGACAACAGATAATGGTGGGGTAGTCTGCAGATAGTAGTACCTTAGGGTCCGCCACGGGGGCTCAGGGTTGCGGTCCAGGGGAACAACCAAAAGGGGTCTCTAACACAACCAGTGTAGGTCCTGGAGGCCTCGAATGGCTGCATCTCACATACCCTGTCCCTTTGTTTCCACCAGTCCTTGTGCTTCCGCTGTTCTGAGGTGTAAATCAGAGAACTTGGTTTCCAACCCCTTGGATCTACTTAGATGCCTGGCCCATCCCCCCGGACCTACTCTTCTGTCAGAGGCAGGAGTCTCTTTGGACAGGTTCACCAGAAGCACAGAACGTCTGCTGCAGTGGACACAGACACAACTGTTTGACAGAGAGGCCGGGAGACCCCCCACCATCTGGCCTGTTGTAATGGCTCACAGAGAATCGAGGAGTGGGGGTGCCACATGAAGGACTGTTCGCCTCTTGGAACACAGGAGATTTCCAGTAGATTTTGTCATTTGAAGAGAGGGCATAGGGTAGAGGTAGAGGTGACTTTCAGAGGATTCCTGGGGTCAGCCTTCTAGGAAGAAGGAGTCCATTTGACCTCTTTTTTTCAGGCTCTTTTTCTCCTCCACACCCCCAAACAGTAGAAAGTCTATAAAGGGTTTACTGCCAGCATCATTCTGCTCCTCAAGTCTCAGGTGCTGGCATCTTTAATCCACAAAATAATTTGTGATTTAGGTAAGAAGAGTGTTCACTTCTTTTTGTTTGTTTGTTTGAATACAGTTACTTTCTACCAAAATTTTATCAAAGGGGTCAACATGACTCAATATTATAATAGTTCATATTGAGGATAACTTGGGCAATTAAAACAACTTAATTGGAACATTCATTCATTGGTTAATAGTTATTGCGTAAATAACTTCCTCAGTATCTACAGGACATGAAAGAGAACCTGAGCCTTACAATGCAAAGGGATCCAATCAATTGCTAGACATAGTAGAGAATCCATTTTAAATTCTATGAAATGCAGGCTTTTCTCTGGAGGCCCTTTCTTTAAAAAAGAGATTATATTGTTCCCTTTTAGTTCAATATTTTAAAATAGGTACAGATATCATAATTTAATGAAAGATGTCACTGAAAATATAATAAAGTTTTTCCTAAATGAACTTACATAGGCACACAGGGAGAATTAGGATGAGGAATCCTGCCCTGGAGAACACTCCTTATTCCATGGTGTTAGGGTTCTAGCTTGGCCTCTATGGCCCTGTCAGGAAAAATATGAAGGCTTTTGTATTTTCTACAAAACTTGTGGACGCTTTTTAGTTTGTTGTTGTTGTTTTTGAGAAGGAATCATGCTCTGTCACCTAGGCTGGAGTGCAGTGGCACGATCTTGGCTCACTGCAACCTCCACCTCCTGGGTTCAAGTGGTTCTCCTGCCTCAGCCTCCTGAGTAGCTGGGATTATAGGCATCCGCCACCACACCCGGCTAAGTTTTGTGTTTTTAGTAGAGACGGGGTTTCACCATGTTGGCCAGGCTAGTCTTGAACTCCTGGCCTCAAGCAATCCGCCCGCCTCGGCCTCCCAAAGTGCTGGGATTACAGGCATGAGCCACCGCACTCGGCCTCAACACTCTTTTTCAACCTTTTCATCAAAACGTTCTGCAAGTATTCTTAAGACCAGAGTTTGTCAATAGTTTATTCTCCTTCCAAATGACCCCCTTTCTAATGCTCAGCTTGAGAATGAGACAACTCATTTGTTCATGTGGCCCTTGGTTGTGACAGAGCAAACACAGCTCCACAATGCTCCAGTCATGTGGCCTGCACTGGGACACAAGCAGGTGCAAAGGCATCTGCAGGAACTCACCTCCCTTCATTCCTTTCTTTTCTTTCTGTTTTTGTGGGAGGGGGGATTCCAGCTCCGTTTTTTTTTTTTCTTCATTTTTTTTATTGTGGTAAAATATATATCACATAAAATCTTGGCTGGACACAGTGGCTCACTCCTGTAATGCCAGCACTTTGAGAGGCTGAGGCAGGTGAATTGCTTGAGCTGAGGAGTTCGAGACCAGCCTGACCAACATGGCAAAACCCCGTCTCTACTAAAAATACAAAAATTAGCCAGCCGCGGTGGTGGGCGCCTGTAATCCCAGCTACTTGGGAGGCTAAGGCAGGAGAATCACGTGAACCCTGGAGGTGGAGGTTGCAGTGAGCTGAGATCATGCCACTGTACACCAGCCTAGGTGACAGAATGAAACCTTGTCTCAAAAAAAAAAAAAAAAAAGAAAATTACCATCTTTACCATTTCTAAGCATATAGCTCAGTGATATTAAATACATTCAAAATGTTGCATAACCATCACCAGCATCTATCTCCATAACTCGTCTTGTAAAACTGAAACTCTTTACCCACTAATCAAGAACTTCCCCTTTCTTTTCTTTTTCTACCATCATTCCACATACTAATTCAAACAACAGATCAAACTCTGACACTGTCTGGTGGAGTAGGCTACTCGTGTGGGTTTTGTAAAACTGAGGAAATTCTCCAGGCAGCTGGAATGATGGGCTCTGCCTGCCCCGTGGTTGTCATCCAGCCCCGATGTAGCCAGAGCACAAGGACATGGGGAAAACATCCCGAGTGGGAAAGGCAGGAAACCCAGGAGGAGAAGAGAATTGATCTTCCTAGAGTGTAGTTTCCTCCTTGATTTTGCTAAATGAGGGCTGGGGTTTGTTCTGTTCTGTGTGTTCTTTCACATCTTTGCTAGAAGAAACACAGGTGTACCACAAGCCCCTTGTGGACATCTATTGTGTGCAGTCCACCCTCTGAGCTGAGAAACAGGGACGCACACCCCACCCAGCCAGTGCTGGATAACAGGCCTTATGGACAGCAGGACTGGAGAGGAAAAGCAAAGGGCCGGGGATGAGAAGACCTGCCCTCAGTTTCTTCCCTGCTGCTATCTTGCTGTGTGTGTGGCTCTGAACAAGTGACCTGGGCCCTGTGCACCTCACTGCATTACAAACAGGGGAGCTCGGTACTATCTGCCAACTGACGAAATGGATGGGTCCATGTAATGAAACTCATGCCTCTTGATGAATCCTGTTCCCTTTTAAAAATAAATGATCTTTCATAAAGATAGACATTCTCTATATAGTTATTCTCTGTAATGTTATTCTATTAGATAAATGTGTGGTTGGGCAAGGAAGCAGGTTTGATTTCTCAATGCTGAGTGTATAGGTTCAACCGTAACGGAACACTGTGAGTGACTATTACTGGGAGGGTGTTCTGGTGCCTGCTCAAAGACCACCAGCCAAGGAAGGAAACAGTAAACCTCAAGAATAAATGTCCGTTCTCATCTTCCACCCCCTGCCATCTGTATATGAAAGAAGCTACTCAACAAAAGTAAACAATCTGTCCCCATTATGCTAAACCTTCAAAAGGCAGGAAACCAGCTACTAAATTAGATCTTGCAGAAGAGTTCAACTCTCACATTTGTGGTTTCCAAAGATCTCCTACTCTTGGTAAGCAGACAATTTGTTCTGTCGTGTTGCATAGAATTCAAGTCAGTAGGTATTTACTGCATATTTGCTGTGTTTCAGGCTCTGCTGGGGACCCCCAGGCCTATCTAGCAGGAAGATGAGATCTGGATGCAGAGTCCTGCAATATAAAGCAGAATCAAATGCCATTGTGGACGTGGAAATAAGGATCTGGGGAGAACAGAGGGACATCTTCCTGGGGTTGGGGAAAGTTGAAAGGGCACCAGAGACCATGCTTCAGGTGCTTGCCGGCCCTAGGGAGAAATTTGTTTGTTAATTTGTCATCATTCTTTCCTATCTTTCACCCTCTTCCCCAGATATGCAAGCCTTGTCTTTCTCCTCTGGATTTATACAAGTGCCACCTCAATCCAACCACTCTGCTCTTCATGCCCTTCTCTTCCTTTCCAGCCCACGAAACACCTCCACTGGACACTGGATCATCTTCAGGGGCAATACTTGTAGGAGAGAAGAACCATCTTAGCACAGACAGACTTACTGTACTGAAAACTTGGAATAAGTTTCTCTGTGTGAGCAGGGCTCTGCCAGCTCACCCACACTCTATCACTCTGAGTGTGGTCCCCGCCCTATCAGCTGCACCAGTATCAGCAGCACCAGTACCACTTGGGCACCTGTCAAAAGGCAGACTGTCTTGTGGAATGATAGACAATGCAGGCTGGTAATGGTGAGCAGGTGGGAGGGAAGAGGAGAGTTATGTAATGGGTACAATGTACATTATTTGGGTGACGGGTGCCCTAAAAGCCCTACCTTCAGCACTGTGCAATCTATGCATGTAACAAAATTACATTTGTACCCCACAAACTTGTACAAATACAAAATTGAATTTAGCTTAATTAATTTTTTTTCAAAAAAGAAATGCAGGCTTTCAGGGCCCACCCCAACTTTACTGAATCAAAATCTGAATTTTAGCAACATGCTCAGGTGGTCTCTGCACATTAAAGTTTGAGAAGCACTGGCTAAAGCATATTTATACTTGGGTCTTTTAAAATTTTAACACTCAAAGGCAAGATAACATTTTCCCCATGGTCATCTCATGACTTCTGACAGAGACATCAATGTTATCAAATCCATCTTCCTGCCTCCATTCTCCTAAAGCGCCCAGGGAGCTGTGTTACTTCCTCAAGCACAAACCACATTCAGATGTCAGCTAATAGAATTGGAAGGAAATAACTAAGTTCCTGGTCTCAAGCCAAGAACTCTAACCTCCAGGCTGAATTCAGGCAGCGGGGAAGCCTGAAGGCTGATTTTCCCTAAGCACAGGAAAAAGATCATTTGAAAAGGGAGTTTATAACTTCAGAGGCCGAGGAGGTTGAAACCAGCCTGGGCAACATGTCGAAATCCCGTCACTACTAAAAATACAAAAATTAGCCAGGTGTGGTGGCACACACCTGTAATCCCAGCTACTTCGGAGGCTGAGGCTGGAGAATTGCTCAAACCCAGGAAGTGGAGGTTGCAGTGAGCCGAGTTCACACCACTGCACTCCAGCCTGGGCAACAGAGCCAGACACCATCTCAAAAAAAAAAAAAAAAAAAAAAAGAAGTGAGAGTTTATATTTCAAAGGTCTGAGGAAGAGGTGTGGAAGAAGCCCTCCCTCTTCTTCAGGGGAAGAGGTCTTGCTTCTAATACAGCCACTTTGTCCTGGTGTCCATACCTTCACCTCTGGGAGGCCCTTGCTAATGCTTTGAGGGTAACCTGCCCTCCTGCTGTACAGGGCTGTTCTCTGCCACCTCCAGCCCGGAACTGTCAGCCTGTAAGGGACCAGGGAGGACATCTTGCTCCTACTTCTCTGGGTGGCCAACATTCCCACTAATGACCCTAACAAGTCACACATATTTGTCACCAACAATGGGGAGATCATTATCACCTACCTCCCAAGCAGCCCCTTCAAGTTCTGAGTGTCTTTGACATTTCAAATCTCTTTACAATGTCAACTTCACCTGACTCCCAGGGAACTATCTTCCGAGAGTTCCATCTGCTTATTTAACTGCCAAGTTCTCTACCTGGGAGAGTGTTCCTTAAATCTATGCTTCTCTAATGTGTCTTCAAAACACCTGGGGATCTGTTGTTTGAAAGTCTGGGAGGGCCACTGAGTTTTTTGCCTTTGGTGGGTGACAGCAATGCCCCTGACCAGAGTTTGAGGGACAAGACCTTATTTAGTCTCAGTTCTGTTCTTCAGGACCACAGAGAACAAAGCCACCTGACCTGCTGTCATACATGGAACATAAAATCATATCTTTCCCAAATCTTCTCTTTTTTTCTTCCAAAAACATCCCAGTTCCTTCCATAATTCCTTAGCTGTCATGGCTTTGCATCTTGTTATCATCTGATTAACTGTCTTCTGGAAATTTTCCAGTGAGTGTTAACAAGCCCTTTAGGTGCATGACACCAATCCTGGAACTCTTCAACTTGAACAGAGCAACCCTGGGGCCAAGTAGAACCAGGCATTGTCCTGATTCAGATAAGCCCATGACCTTACAGTCTTGTTCAGGAACAATGTGGTCCTATGGATGTATGGAGCCTCAAATTTAAAAAAAAAAAAAAAAAACCTTCACCCTTCCCTCATACAAATGCATATGCCTTTCTTATCACAATGGTGAGAAAATGGATGATAAACTAATTCATCCTCTAACATACTAGTAACTTAACATGTTGTTTAAAGGAACTTTGACAAGGCGATCTTAAAGAGACAACATCTTACTCTAAAGGCAGACTCCCTAATGGTGTCATTGGAGGGCTGGGAAAGACCTGTAGGGTGAGGGTACTGCTCAGAGCATACCATGCCATCGCTGCTGCCTCCACTTTCCCCAAGGCTCCCTG